CAGGGTTTAGGGTTCAGGGATCGGGTTTAAGGTTTAGGGATTGGGGTTTAGGGAGTTGGGGGTCAAGGCTTTGGGTTGGGGGTTCAGGGTTTTGGAGTATGGCTTGGGACCTGGGTATTCTTCTGGTAAGTGATTCGGCTCCCCATAGGCTGAGGCCGTATTCTGCCTTTCATTACTTTGTTTAACCACCAGAAAGACTTCTCAACTTAGAATTGGCATACCCCGGTGTATGATTGGTTCAGGGTTGCAGACTTCCGATGGAGTGGAGGTTGGAAGCTGCGTGACGGATTGAGGCATTCAGGGAGCTTTGCAGAGATGTCAGAGGCAGGGCTTTCTCAAACTATCCTTTCAAAGCCTTTACTTAGTAGGAACCCCCGCAGAATCTGCGCATGCTTTCCATATATGCCCTGGGTTTCTTTGGGTGGCTCCATTTTGCAAGACCGCCTGCCTTGTGTAGTTCGGGCAGGGAGTTTCGCCCAGAAAGACGAAGTTCTCAACATGTCTGTTCACATTTGTTTCTGAGGGGGAAGCTTAAACCCTAAACAATGAGCGCTGCAGGTATGTAAGGGATTAAATATGGAAAGGAACCGAGCGAAGCCGGTAACCCAGACAGAGTTCTGCACAGGTATGAGGGTCTAGGGTTTGGGGTTCATCGTCCAGGGTTATAGGTTTGGGGTTGGCTTGCACACTATAACCTCCGCGACGCCCTCACCTTGATCCAGGTCCTTCCGTGTGATAAGCCTTCTCTCTTCAACCCTGAAGGCGGCTTTCCGAGAATATGCGCCCCCTTTTTGGGCGTCCTTTTGACTAGACTTACAGTGTTCATGGGTCTAAAGAGGAGCTCCTGTATGGAAACTACCAAACGCCAAACTCAGATACCTAGCTCCTTATCCACGATCCGCGCCCCCTAGCAGCCTAGCGTGAACTTCTATGAGGTTTTGACTTTGAGGCAAGTGTGTCATGCTGCGTTATTGCTTATGATCAAGCACCTCCTCAACCTTAAGCCCTGGCCCTAAACCGGCAACCCAAAGCCCTAAACCAAAACCAACCCAGGCTTTGACTCCACAACCCCAAATCCTAAGCCTGTCAGGTATTCCTAAGCCAGTAACCTTCTGTACAAGTGTAAAGGGTTGACACAATTGCGTAATCTGGGGGCCTAAGCGATTGGAATTGGGCGATGGGTCATATGCTACCAGAGTATGTAAGGGTTATGCGGGAATTATTCAGGCGTTTACACTAAGGAGGTTCCGTGTGTAGGCGTTGACAAGCGTGGGAGCCCACCACAGACATTTTGGGGTATATGGAAATATGTAGAATTGATCGTTGTCTATGGTGTTGTGATGAAGGTACCTGTGGTTTCCTTGGCATGTGTGCGGGCTCATATATGGGGTGTTCAGTTCAGGAAAGTAGAAATACCTATCTCAAGTTGAAAATCCCTAAACCTAAAGTCCTACGCCCTAAGCCTTACACCCTAAACGACCTATCTCAGATACTATGCCGTGGAGAAGTTTGGGAAGTTCTCGCACATGCTCAAGCCTGGTCTTGCCACTGTGGGTTTGGACTGTTGCGGCCCACTGGCTGTTTTGGAACTTTGGGAGATGTGGGGAGTTGGGATTACGATGTATAGGGTTTAGAAGTTTAGAATAGAAAGTCGAGGATATGTGGAGTCTAGGGTTTAGGATTTATCGCTTGGCCTAAACCCTCTGAGCCTTCAAGCCTTAGCTCCTAGGAGCCCTCTGAGAGTTGAGCTAAGGCTGCTGCATCAGCTTCCGGTCCATCACCAGCCGCACAGAGCAGAACATGGTGAATGTCTCCACGAAGACCAAGGAAAAGTATTGGGGTGGTTTAGGGTTTAGGGTTTATATTGGGGATATATTGGGGTTATATATATAGGGATTATAGTCTTGGGGTTATATTAGGGATACATTGGGATCTATATGGATTATATTGGGGTAATGGAAAAGAAAATGGAAACTACTGTAGGATAGTATTGGGGTTATATGGGGGATACATTGAGAGAGAGAGAGAGAGAGAGAGATATATATATATCTAGGGATTATAGTGAGAGAAAGAAAATGGGAACTACTGTATACAAGGACCTTCAAAGGTCCTAAGGCTTAGGGGTTTTGGGGGGGGTTAAGGGTTAAGTTTCCACAAAGACAAAAGACCTTTAAGGTTCAAGTTCTATGGGCTTCGAAGTTGAGATTTTAGTCTCCACGAAGACAAAGGACTCCACAAAAACAGGGGCTCTACGTCAATTAGTTATCTAGGGGTAGAGAGAGTGTGTAGATATTTGTGGAAGAGTATTTTTCGTGGTTGGGCTTGGGTCTAGGCCCTAAACTATAACCATTACTTTCTTATTACTATTATTCTTACCTATTATTATTACTATTATTATTACTTTACTATTACCGTTACCATTACTATTACTATTACTATCAGGAATACTATACTACTATTACCATTACCTAAACCTCGGGGTCCCAGTGGTCTGACAAGAGCCCACGGGTTGAATGTGGGTTCTGGGATTAGGGCCAAGGGGTCACAGTGGGCACCTGGGATTTTTGGCGGCAATAATTCTACGTCCTGAAATTATAGGTGTTGAGGCAGAGATAAGTTTTAGCCCCAACTGAACCTTCAGTTCTACTGTTACAGCCTAAAATCCCCTGGATATTTGGTGGTCGGACCCTAAGGTTCCTTTCGAAGTGTCACAAGTTTCCGATGTTGGATTGCGGCAGCCAGCTCCTTTGTTCCTCCCATCACGGGGTTTTTCTTCAGATGCGTAAATACCCGTAGTTATAGACACATACATTTATTCGCACATGCATAGGAAAATGTACATAATACATATATATATATATGTATATAAAAAAGACATACGGGCAACATAAGAAGTGTGCATCTTGAGAAAAAGCACATCTGAGAAAATCCTTATGGGGTTGATAAAGTCTCGGTTGAAGGGCTTGGGATCGAGTGCCTTGGTGACCGTATGCCGGATGATCCGAACAGTGCGCAAGTGGAAGTCGCATGTGCAACAAGCGCTTCACCCGAAAGCCTCCAACAGATTACGTTCCCCACTGGGACGTGAAAAGGGGTTATCGTTATGGTGATCCGCATCACTGACAACAGTCAAAGACACGGCTCGTGCGGATCATGCATGAGCTGCTATTTCAATCTCACACATGAATCCCAAGGTCTTAATTATCCAGATGGCAGGTACTCACACATATTGCAAAGTATATGTACATGTATATAGTGCAGTTCTTTGTAATGTAATTCCGAAATCTATTTCCCATTTGCGAGTCTAATCCTTGCGCAAGGCCCGTGCCCCAAACACCCAAAGACTCCAACATCCTTCCAGGACAACGTCTTTGTGCATGTGAAGCTTGGGATTTATGGGCTCGAAGCAGGATCAGGAACATTTGATTTTGCACAATAGCTATAATGGACCGTTTAAGATTGCTATAAGGCTATAGTTTTTACATGTCGCTACCTTCCCTACCGATGCGTGAGAAGTACTTTCAAAACCGGAGGCATTCCGCTGCCCTCCTTTTTTGGTTCAAAGTTGGGCTAGTGGAAAAGAAAATGGAAACCATTCCTGTTTTGTTCAGAGTTGGGTGTCAGGTTCGGGTTTAAAGTTTGCGTGGGCTGCAATTAGGGCAGCTGGGTTAAAATTGTGAGGACTCGTTTGCAGCTGGAGACATCACAAGACTTGTTGCGTACAGCTGTCATATGTTGTCCGAAACGCCTTGAGCAGCAGAGATAACCGACCGGAGGTTGTAAATTTGAATTGATTTCAGCTCCAGGGGGAAACCCCCTAGACCCTGAACCTTAAACCGACTGCTGCGTTTAGGTCTACGAGCTCAGGGTGGGCAAAAATGCAGCCCTATCCAAATCAGAACCTGGTAGCCCATTAATACTGATATTTGATATTTGCGTTCTTAATTGTTCAGAGTGTAGGTGTAGGTAGGTTTGGAGCAAGAGCATCGATAACCTGCACCGTCCGTTGTGCATAATCCTCTGCCCCACATCCTTGTCTGCAGACGATTCTGCCCAATGTGAGGAACAGTTTTCTACCTTGGAACTTAGTCCCTCAACCCTGAACCCTAAGCCCTCACCCTCCACACCCATAGATTTGGCTGCGCTACCCCATGCAACCCTAGAGGAATTCTTGATAGAAATGCCTGCCGCACCGTAGCTGCTTTAGTTGCTGGAAATTGAGGTGCCTCATGATCTGGAAATTAAGTTGTGCACGAATTCCTCATCCCCAAACCCAAAAATCCTAAAAAAAATCACCAAGTTACCTGAGGAAAGTCGCTGTCCAGCAGTCGGTGATGCCGGAGTTCACCGAGCTGGCCATGTGACCTTCACGGGACGCATGTATGAAGGGCTTAAACTGAGGGATTTTCATGGGGTTGAAGATTTTGGGGTTGAGGGGCAACCCCTCCGCCTGATAAGCCACCTCTACCTCCCTAAATTCATGCCACTCAGTCGGTGTTTAGGATTCTGAGTTGAGGGTTTAGGGTTTGCTGAAGTGTGCTCAGTTTCACAGAATCTTGTCGCGGCTGTAGCAACAACAGTACCTTTTGCGTCATTAGCGCCTCATGGTTGACTTTGCTTGAGGTGTTCATCCTGAAGCTCACAAGCCCAGTGGCCTCATACACGAAATTCGCGGTCATTACTGCTGAATTCCTCAAATTTCCGAGGCCATGTAGTCTTGTGAACAGAAAATCCTACGCGGAGGTACAAGCTCGATAATGTCCACGAGCAGATCGAATCCTACGTTGCAGATGTGGTTCGTTCCTGGGGCTTTTCAGAAATTCAGGTCATCAACCAGGCGCAAGCAAGAAACACATAGAACCCCCTGAAAAAGATACCCTATCCCGGCAAACAAAACGCTAAAGGCCAAACTCTAGACCTCAAGTCAAGACCATAGCGTTTTAGAAGCTCTCAAAGAGCCATTATCCTGCCGCAAGCGTCGTGCAAAAACCTTCGGGGGCTTGAATGAGTGCCTGATCCAAAGTACCTCCCAAATGCTCTGTGCGTAGAAGTTTCTTTTGGGTGGACTAGACGGGCCCTGATCGGTATGTACGAGGTTTAGTTGTATGAGGACCCCAAATAATTAGATAAAGGGCTCTAAACTTTGCATCCTGTAAGCACCCAATAGTAGGTCTATAACTTCTAACTTTCCCATGGTTTTCGGCCGCGTCCAGAGAGTTTTTCATAGTGTTCAGAGCCACACAGCTTAGGCTGTTGGGTTTAGGGCTCAAATTCTGAAGCGCAGCCTGCATGTTGAGAAGGTGAGGTGGGACGGGGGGGGTGGTTATCGGGTGCGTGTGTCAGGACAAAAGAGATGGAGGTCCCATACAGTGTTCTTGGTTCGACCTGAGTAGATCCCAGCACATCCTAACGTAATCCCAGATGAGCCCCCAAAATAGTTCTCATCGTACTTACCTTCTTTCCGTGTGAGACTAGTGTGCGTGCAGGTGCAGTTGCCCATTGAGGTATTCGCAGTAAGAGGCCACAACAGGGGTCATAGCATTCCTGGGTATGTAAACGGATAGTGGTTCTCGTATGAACCCAGGCTCATTCATCCCACAGATGACGCTCGATGAGTCTTTCGAGAAGAAGGCCTGCGATGAACTCAAGCAAATCCGGGGCGCGCTCTCGCCAGCAGGATTTGGGAAGTCTTGTCCCAATCCTCAAACCCCTACCTACAGAATTGCGCCCAAAACCCTCAACCCAGCAGCCCTAAATCCTCAACTCTATCCAACTATTCTTAACCCCTAAACTCAAACTGCCGGGAATGCAGGATGACATCTCAGATGCCGTGCAGAAGAAGCTCAGCACGGAGATGGCCAACTTCGGATTTCTGGCTGAGAGTTAAGGGTCTAGGGTTCGGTTTGGATTCTGGGATTTAGAATTTTAGAAGTCCTAAACCCTATACTATACCCCAGACCCTAAATCTTAAACCCTAAATCTTACACCGAGCGCAGGGCTGGTTTAGGGTTCAGGGATTTGGGAATTAGGGTTCAGGGTATCGCAAACCTTCAACTCTGAACTCCTAAATTTTGACCCCAAACCAGGCTTCGCCATCAACAAAGCCTTGGTCACGGAGGTTTCGCCCAATTCCGAGGCATGTGCGGGGTTAGGGGCCATGAGTTTGGGGGTTTTCGGAGGTCGTCCATAGAGTGGGTCCTGGGCCCCATCAGGATCCTGGGAATACATGTGGATTACAAAGGGATAATGAGGGACTCCCTTCAGAACTACATGGTAGGTAGGTGTGATGTTGTAACGCTCTCATATGGCTTTTTCCACTTAGGATTCCTACATCGTGGGCTCTATGATTCTGGTGGTACAGTCGGGGGGACCCTCATTTTGAGAAATGCTCAAAGGGCAATCCTTTCAAGAAGTATTCAGTGTTGCCAGGGGATTTGCAGCCTGTGGTGTAGACTGGATTATATCGGAACCATGTGCGTGTGGCTACAGAGACCACGAAAGGGTATGCTGCCTGGCGACTAGGTAGTGTTCCCGGGCTTGGGACCAGTTTTTGCCGAGTACAGTCTTGCGTTGCAGCTTCGGAGATGGGGCTCCACAAGCCCGAAGTATGCACCATACACCTTCAACCCTCGACCCCAAGCCCTAAACATAAGACACTCTACACCGTAAACCCCAGTGGGGCATTCCCAATATAGTATGCCCTTCTTGTAGGGATTCCAAAAAATCTTGAACAGGATCATGATTTTTTGGCAATCGCTATTTCCTATGAACCTTGCATTGATGATGCGAGAGGTGGTTGCCTCCATGAACGAGATCAACAAGCAGTCATCAGCTCAGATTACCGGAGCGTTGGGTTCAGGGTTTAAAGGCCTTAGATTTAGATGTTATGGGGTTTAGGGTGTAGGGTTGTAGAGCAGTAGCCTCTCAACATTGAAAGGTATGATTGACCATTTGGGCTACTGAAAGATCCTGCCATGTGTGGCCTTCAGGGGGTTCAAGGGCCCTACTAGTTTGGTTTCGGTACCCAGTACCCTCGAAGATTCCATGGGATCCACAGTGAACCTTTGATGATAGTTTGGATAAGCAATTCCTTCATACTCCAGGGAGAATTCTGGTTTACGGGTGGCTGTTAAGGAACTTAAGATAAGTTACCATTTTCAGCACACCCTCTTATCTATTATCTACAGCATATCCATATTGCTGGTTGCTAAAGCTTCGAAAGCCCAGGCAGGGTGATGGTATGAACTTGAAGGTGACCTACAGGCGAACTCCAACAACCTCGCCCGGCCCTGCATCCAATTTTTTTCGCATGATTTCCAAAAATGGGTTGCTGTTAAGGAAGGTAACTGTAATTAGCAGGATTTCTTTATTAGTAGCTTAGTTTAAGATCCTTAAAAGCAACCCAGAAATGGGTCCCATTATAGCTTTATTGTGGCTTTTTGAAGTAGTTGACTGCAGCCAGCAGAAGACCTCGAAGCCTTTATAAGCACCCAACAGCTTCCGTGGACTCCACATCCTACTACCAAGACCCTGAACTGAAAGCCTAAAAACCTTACACCCTGAACCCTGAGCTTACGCAGTAGTTTCCACTTTCTTGTCCAAGGTCCCTCTATACTCCTTATATACCGCCCATATACCCCAAAACACCCTCAACCCTCAACCCTAAACCTTCAACCCTAAACCCTCAATCCTAAACCTTCAACCCTCAACTTTAAACCCTCAACCCTAAACCCCCTGAACCCCTATATACCCCAAAGCCTAAAAGTCCAGGAAGCGCCTCCGCGACGCCTCGCAGATGGCCGCAGAGGCAGAGAAGATCAAGGCCTGGCCAGCTTTAGTCTTTGAATGACGCCTAGGGTTTAGGGTTTGGGGTTTGTGGCTTAGAGTTTGAAGTTGAGGGTTGGGGGTAGAGAGCTTTCTGGTATGTAGACGTCTTCAAGCCCTCGCCCATCTACAGCTCCAACTCCTATCTAGGAGACGGGTCCACGCCCTCAATACCCATCAGAAACTCTAGATTCCAAATCTACACACTTTTTGGAGGGTCCTGATGAGAATTGCAACCAAAAAGGCACGACAACTACTTTGCAGCATCGAGGTAGAAACCACAAGCCCCGATCCTAATCCCCCAATCCCTAAACTAAACTCGAGCGCCGAAACCCTAAGCCCCAAAGACATTAGAAGTTTAAGCTACGAAGCCCAAACAGGTGGATAGTACGTAGGTACAGTTGCCACGATGCTCCCAGAAGGACAACCATAAGACCCCCTTTGCCTTCTGGGAGAGGCATAGCAGGCTTGCGAGACATTAAATAACCTGGCCACCCTGGACCTGAAACCCTTTACCATCACCCTAATCTAATCCATTTCCTGCAAGCAGCCTGGAACCCTGTGTCCAAATCCCTCACATGTATATATGTATATGTATATAAATATATATATATATCTCTCTCTCTCTCTCTCTCTCTCTATGGCCCTCCAGCTTTTGGTTCATCTTCCACTTTCTTTTCCATATTTATCCCCTACCCGCAGCCAAGAACAGGTGGTTAAGGCCGCCGAAGCTGCTGCCGATGCTGCGCAGCTCCAAGGAGAAGGCCCCTTCGGCTTTTTTGGGCCTTAAAAGGGGTTAAATAGAGCTATATAGGGCGATATGGGGTTATATAGGGTTTTGGGTCTTATCTCCTTTAAGGGGGTTCTATAGGGGCGTACATGTGGCAGTATTATGGGGCTTATGAAGGGGCATGCTAGGAGTTTAGACTAAAACTCACTTGGGGGGGTGTCAGGGGGACTCCGTGAAGGGTTAGGGGCCCATTGGGTCCCACATCCTCTTCAAAATTCATTCGCATTTTCTATTACAATCATTTGTTGCCCTCTTCCTCACTTCACGAACAACTTTTCTAATCTCACTATGCCTCAACAATGCTTTTGCTGCAAAGATAGGCGCAATTTTGTAAACACTGGAAGACAGTCCTAAATACATAAATCCAAAGCAGAGACTCTTAGAAACCCTGAAGGAAAATCCTTTAAGAAGGAGCCCTGAAAGAGGAGCCTGGAGAAACCTTACAAGAACATCCCAAAGGAACAGCCCAAAACCACTCTAGACTCTTCATATCCCTTCAAGAAGCGTTATAAACTCCTCCAAGCGTAGATCCTAAGATCCCACAGCCCGCTTAGACCCTGGCAAAAGAAGAAATGCAGGTATTGCGCGCCAGCGCCGCGCAATCATCGATGGCCTCCGGTTCTTGAGCAGCAGGGACTGGGAGGGGTCCTTGAATGTTTGGGTCTGGGTGTTATGCCAGGGCTCCCGTAGCCCCATGTAGGTACTATGGGTCGATCTCAGCCCCACTCAAAGCAGTATGTAGAGACTACGGTATGCAGGGTTAGGGAATGGGGAAAGCTTAGGAGTTCGGGTTAAGGGTTTAGGGTGAGAGGTCTAGGGATTTGGAGTTTAGGGTTTAGAGGCCAAGGGATGATTAGGGTTTAGGGTTTAATGCCTTGGTTCGGAGTGTGTGTGGTGTAAGGTGTGGGTGGAACCGTGGGCAGGTATCCCCGTCTGGGAGATGATTAAAGAAAGGGGTTGTTTTGAACAGACAACAAGAAGCTAAGAGTTGAGGCTTGGTTTCTAGGGTTTAGGGTTTAGGATTCAATTAGGCCGAGGTTAGGGTTTAGGGTTGCTGTAAGTTCCATGTTCAGGAGAGCAATCATCCTGTAGATGTCGCCACCCCAAAACCAAGCCGTATACTGTAGACCCGAAGCCTCAAACCCCTAGCTGTACACTTTCATCCCTAAGCCTCTGACGGATCCCTCCAAGCCCAAACCCCAAAACATGAATTTAGTGCTTCTGATGGGCATGCCTTAAAAGTAGAAGTCCCCTATCTACATTCAAAATACCATAGTTCATGATAAGCCTGACTCTGTGGGGAATATGAGCTTTCAGCAGCCCCACCTTTGTGTTGGTCTTCTTTCCCAGCGCATGTTCATGCATGTCCTACTCCCTGTCCAGAATTCGCTGAGCTAAGCCTTAAACCCCAAGCCGGAAATCCTACGCTCTTAACCCCAGGCCTTAAACCTGAAGCTCTAAGCGTTAAGCCCTACGCTCTAAGGCTCGAAGCCCCGAACTCAACACCCTGAAGCTTCAGATTCAATCCCCGACTCTAAATCCAGGGACTCCATTACCCACGGCAGCGGCGAGCATCTCTCGACGGAGAAGATCTCGGAACTACTCCTGCGCCTGGGCTTACAATCCCTGTAGATAGAATATGGCTTTGGGTATATCATAATAAGATCCCCATATACCCCATATTCTATCTACTTAGTGGGGACTATAGGGTTTTAACGTTGAAGGGGTGTGGGCAGTTATGGAGATTGATAGGGATTTAGGGTTTTAGGGTTTGGAGTTCGGGGCTTAAGGGGTTTGGGTTTAGGGTTGAAGGTGTAGAGAGGGAATTTACGCTGTAGCAATTTATGGGGCTTGGAAGCTGGGATTTTTGTGCTTGGGGCTTAGGAGCCACCTAAGAGACCCAATAACCCATTTCCGGCTTCAAATTATCGCTTAGATATAGAAGGTTCGGGACTAGGGCGCGAAGGTTAGGGATGAGGTTTGGGGTTGAGCGTTTAGGCATGTAACTTGTAATGCTAATTATCATAACCGCGGTATGAGTCCTGTACGTGAAGTTACATTGGCCAGAATTGGGCAATGTCTACAGCTTTCAGAAGGTCATAGTTGTGCTGAATTCCCATCACCACATGCGTGAAGGAGACTTAAAATCCACTACGAATTTTCCCTGAATGTCTCTAGGATCTCCGAGAGCCCCCCACCCTCGTCAACCACAGGAGGCCTGTAAGGAATTGGGCACCAAGGACCGCCTCAGCCAGACTCGTTACCCGCCCTTTGCGAGTTCCTGGCTATTAGCAGGGAATGTAGGCATGGATTCCTAGAGTAATCCGAAATAACTTACAATAGGATGGTATTGTTCATGCTCTTTTCCATGCCCTCCTTCCTTTTGAAGAAGAAGCAAATCAATTGTGAACCGGGTGACAATGGCAAGTACCGGCTGAAGGACAACACGGAACCCTTTATCTGATGGTTTGTTCGTGCGCATCAAAACCAATCCAATACTCAAAGCCATAAAGCTCCAAAACCTAAAGCCTCAACCGAATTTCTGGCGCGACGCTTCTCAATGGATGTGGTTTGCATATCAAGGCGCTGAACAATTCAAACGGCAGCACTTTGTACTGACTCATGGAATGAATTACATGCAGCGTTATCGTCTACAGGAACCATACCATGATAGGGCTCCATTCTCTCATTCCCTACCAAAAGACACAGCACCAGGTAGGCACCCTAAACCAGCTCCCTTTTGGGGTGGCTTGGTCTCCTTATATCGGGACTTCATGTTTCGAGTATCCCGATGTGGGGCACAGTGAACAGTACTATCCTAAAATGCAGAGCCCAAAGCCTTCTTTCGGGGCTCTCATGTTGCTCTGTTTTAGAGAGTAAAAGCATTATTGACCGCGTACCACAGAAACAACAAATTCATCTTCAGGATCCTTGAACATAGTCGCGAAACAACATACAAAGTAAACGCAAAAAGGGGCATTTTATCCAAAACTCTACGCCTAAACTCCTAAACCCCAAGGATCACCCAGTATTTCGAGACGTTGCGTGATGTCGCTGCTAACAATCGCTACTTGGCTTACTGGCGCTTGGCAGTGGAGAAGAGCATGCGAGCTACATTAAGATCTTAGTGCCTGATGGTGCTTTGGGCTTGGAATGAGAGAGTAGAACCCTGTAACATTCGCCATCTAGTCCCATTCCATGACACCTATACTCCCTTCCCCACTCCAGCTACCTGCTGGTGTACAGGTTTTAGGGTCAGTGTAAGGTTTGCCAGAGGTTCAACATAGAAGCCCCTTGGGCCCCAAGTATCTACCGTATGCCCACAAGTCTGCAGGTTCTGGGGGTTCCGGGGTAAAGGTTTGGGGTGTGGGATTTATGGTTTAGGAGTCGGGTTCAGCGTTTTATTGCTCTAACCCCTATATCCCAGGCCCTCAGCCCTGAGCCCTGAGCCCCTAAGTCGTGAACCTCCCCAACCGATGGATCCCTGGTAATTGCACGTGTTGCATGCTATCGCAGGCTGCTGGGCTCCAGTCTTAGAGTCGGGGATAGAGGGACAAGGAAGGCGAGGTGTTTCGGGGTATGATACATGGGGTCAATGGAGTCCAGGGGCACAGGGTCAGTAGACTCGAGGGTGTTCTAGATCTCCAAGATACTGTTATGTTTGTCCTATGTTCCCCGGAGTTCTTGAAGTACTCCTTGTTCCGAGAGTAGCCTATGTTCCGTGATCTAAAGTTACGCAGGTGCAGCTGAGTCACAAAATCCATAGGTTTCAGGGCAAAACATTCTGGCCTGCCACTGCTCCAGGAAGCTTCACTGCATCCCAGGCACTGCTTAATTCACTAGACGTAGTTGATTACTACTTAACATGGCAGATCCGCAGGCCTCAGAGCAAGTGTTGCAGGTCCGGTTGACATCTGGCGAAGTGGCGGCGGCCATACCTGTGGGAGAAGTCAGTACAGTGGGAGCCTTGAAGCAGCACTTGCAGGCCGTGTGTGGCGTGACGCGATTTCGGCAGAGGCTGCTGCATGATGGCACAGTTTTGGCCGATGATGTCGGTCTGGAAGGTTTTCTTGACCTGCAACTGGTGCTGTTGAACTTCATTACGGCATCGCCCGCTGAGAGAGCTGAGCTGCTCGAAGCCAGCGGTCGGGGTGCAGAGGCTCATGTCGAGCGGATACTACAGAGACCACAGGACCCCAACAGGCGTGAGGATGAAAAGATGGGAGCTTTACACCTCGCATCCGCTCGAGGATCACTTGGCACCATACGTCTTCTACTAGACGCTCGTGCAGATCTGGAAGACGTTGAACAGTGGAGTGGCCAAACAGCTCTGTCCCTCGCAGCTATGTTTGGTCGAGTTGACGCTCCGCGTTTTTTGTTATCACGTGGTGCAAATAAAGACACATGCTCGTCGTGGCGTGAAACAGCACTCTGAACGGCTTCTCCACATGACGTGCAGGCTTCCCAGCATGACAAACTTAGCACTGCGTAGCTGGAGCTGGGAAGCGAAGTATGTTGTGGTGTGGCCCTGCTTGAAATGGCTTGTTGCACTCGAAACGTTCAAGTTGTTCGCTTGTTGCTGGCGGGCGGTACCAACCCAGCTGCTCCCATCATCAGACAACACCAGGTGGCGGCGGACGGTTGCAGATTCCAAGAAAATGTCAAAGCACACGTGGTCAAAAGAGATTTTGGGACCTTCTTCTGGCCGCTCGGGGTTCTGGATACCTCTTCGATACTTTGCATCAGGGTAGTTGGTTGTAGGGCATGTGGCATGGTTGAGAGCTCCAAGCTTATTATTGTTGGTATTACTATCGTTCTTACTACTATGATTGTTACTTTGAGAACCCCTTCGTACTATCATTTTTACTATTGACAAACTTTACGTTAATTTGTGGCCAAGGGGGAGATTCCGGGGTAAATTACGAGGCATTCCTCAACACACATATGTTTCCCAAAATTAGGGGTGCCTTCTTAGGCGACCCCATAGTAAGGATTGTAGTATATTGAGGTCTATATTGGGGTCGGTCCCCCTTTTTATGGAAACGACCACATACATTGCTCAATACTTCTGCTTTCACATAGCTATAGAAGAAAGTCGACCGTTTATACTATACATTCGGCATGACTTCACTATACTATGGTACCTCAAATGGTAGAAGGTACTTAGGGTCACACGTGATTTTTGCTATGCACTGTAGCTCGTGTGTGCGTGGCCGAGCCGATGCTTCTGAGGAACGGAAACTCCGAGCTGTCTGACATTGAAAGGGTTTAAGTTGCAGCGGCGTTTGAGGTTCATATATGGGTATGGAAAGGGACTATTTAGGTTATACATCATATATGATATATGCGCAAAGAGAAAAATGGAAATTAATGTTTAGAGTTTGGGCTCGGAGACGGGGCGGGACCTCAATGGAGGACTTCTTTCATCCCAACACAGCGATGGCTGCTATAGTGTTGGTCCTTGACTGGGTACTTGCTTCTTAGATGCAAGGGGATCGTGTAAACCCATGCATCTTGGCTATATACAATCCTGAAAAATGCCTACATATCCCTGCAGAAGGGACCAGAATCCCTAATTATGTATTCTGTCTGCGCATATCCACTTCAAGGGGCCCCCACATCCGCATTGAAAAAGGTTCCAGCACTGTGTTTCTGCCCTCCGGCCCGGGCGCTGTGGGTGACGTCCGGGCCCCGAGCATGGAGTTAGCAGATCCTTAGGGAGTTCGGGTTTCAGGAGATTGAAGGAGGTAGTGTTTCAGGGATTTTGTGTTGCCTCAGGTGTTGTTGGGAGTGCCGGACCTGTACCCAATAGTTGAGTATTTGGGATGTGTGTAATAGTCATTGTAGTACAGGTTTTGCACAAACAGGTGATTATTGAACAGTACTTAACGTTCTATGTAGCTCAGGGGTGCGAGGGGTTATCGGGTTTTAGGAAGTTTTTGGAGTGCTGGGGGCTTTGGGGTTGAGGGTTTTAGGAGTTTACAGTAGTAGATCTAGTAGATCATTTTGGGGGCACGTGTGTTGGTCTTGGTTATATGTCTCGCCCCCCCCCCCCATATGAACCCATCTAATCCCCCAACCCTTAGTAGTGAAAGAAAGAAATCGGTATGTGCCTCTGTAATGGTACTCGGTTAGGAATATTTCTTTT